GTCCACGAATGATTATAGAAGGCATGTCTACAAGCAAGTACATGAAGAATGGTGGAAGAGACAGCATGTTCGTAGCACGCACCTACCAATTGTTGTGGCAAAGATACTAACACTTCTATGGTTGATAATTGTCCAAAATCAATCAAATACATCGGCCTTCTATAAGCAAGGATAGATGATGTATAGTGAAAAACAAATATCTCAAGGGTTGTAGAATATTCATCATACATACTATATGTTATTTGCAGGCAGAAGAAAATGAGATACGGCAAGTGCAAATACATGCAATTGTCTACAAACGAAAGCAGGAGACTCGTTAGTGTACTACAAATACGAGTAGTGCACGACAATTTACCTGTACAAAGCAGCGAACAACTCTATTCAGAAGCTGCTGCGCCACGCCACCGGATCTGCAACACTTATACAAGCAGACAAAAGGCGTCTACGATTTACAACGCCACGCCACCGGATCCGCAACGCTCTTGCAAGCGGACAGAAGGCATCTGCAAATACTTTCAAATCACCCCCGCACGTCCACTATAGTTTGTATACACATAGGTACACTAAAAGGGATAAAAGAAATCATGAAACCCGTATGGGTCTCGGCGAGCGTGTTATTAGTACACACTTGACGTCTAGGAATGCTGCGCGGGTTATTAAATCTGAACCCGATCCTTTTAAGCAAGTAGGAGTCGACAATGTTCAATAAATAATTACAAAATGCCCCCAAACACCCGCATGGGCCCCGGCGAGCGTGTTATTGGTACACACGTGACGTCTAGGGATGTTGCGCGGGTCAATAAGTGAATTCAAGTTCGAACCCGATCCTCCTATAAAGAACAATAGGAGCCGACAAAGTTCGAACCAACAAACAAATATGTGGCCATGGCGACCAGAATATTTGTTTTAATGCATTCATATTAGACCTTCAAAGCCTAAAATCAAGAGAATTCACTCTCAAAGGCATAAAGCCTACGAAACTGATCCTCTGTCGACAGCCAGACAGAGTCAACAAGGTTCAAGCTTTAAATGGAAATAACCCTTAACACCCCGATGATGGTCGTGTTAAATGTAAATCTCAACCGGAGGGGTCAATCCCAAATATTTTCAAATGCCTCCCAAAAGTACATCCAAAATTCACAAAAATCCAAAAAAAAAAAGAAAATATTTAAAATTGAAAAATCCAACTATCAAATAACTTAAAATATATCCACCCTCCGTAACAATTTGCCGGGGTGGACAAATTAAAATTTACTTCAGCTAACAAAGAGTCAAATGCCTAGTCGAAAATATTACTAGGATCCATTCTCAAATAATCTCCTGCTAGTAAGGACGTGGTACGTGTCCTCAAACCGGCATTTTTGCCGCCAAATGGCACCGCAGGATAAACGGTTATGACCCGAGGCCCTCTGAACCAAGTGGTTTTGCCGCCAAATGGTACCACGAAATACCGGTTATGGCCAGAGCCAATACGCCTCTTATTGGCATCAAATCATTGAGATATCAATCAATAGGATATGATCGATAGGGCACAAAGCCCTCTGTTAGCTAAGGTCGATTCAAATTTGTCCCCTTAGACAAACACTCACCCCAGGTCTGCAAGGTACCCTCGGACGAAGCAACCCATGGCTGCTGACAAGGATCCTTCTGTCAGGTTGGGTCGACTACCTCCTCTGACTAAGTAGACCAGGGACCACGATGGCCCGGGATGACGGAAACTTGGGATCTTGATCGGGTACATCATTCATTCCCTCACCATCCGCTTTAAGTGCAAGATGGTGCAATTTCTATTTTAAATATAAAATCTTTAACTCCCAAATCCCAAACTCATTGCTGCTTCTATATGCCAGATAACACGTATTATCTACGTATCTGATTGACGGCTAGCCTTAATCGAAAGTTCTCTCTCGTTATCAGGAGGGGTAATTAACTATAGGGGCTTGCGCCTATAGGAAACCAGAACTCAGATCATAAAGTCCTCGTAAAATGAGAGCGAAATCTCTGCGTAGTGTCTTATCTACAAATCCATCTGCCTTCCAAAATTTACCACGGAACTTAGTTCGTTAAAACTGCCCTCGCCGTATAAAAAGAAAAGCGAGCGGAGGCCGGGGCCGAATTTTCGGAGCCCACAATCTCATATCCCATAAAACAATAAAAGGAACTTAAAAACTTGCAAATTAATTCTAACTTTACAATAAAAATTACTAGCTATTTAATAACGAAGTCTAATGACTGCATGAATATATAGAATCTATATATTTTTCATATAATAAAAAATTATTTATTAGAAAAATTAGAAAATAAGCAAATAGAGCCAAATTAAAAAAAAAATAAACAAATAGAGCCAGATAAAAACTTGGTAACACCGTAGTCACATCCAAATGATATTTGAAAAGCAAGATAATGTCTAAAAACGGGTCAAGCAGAAAACTGTGTTGTTTGAAAAGATTTAGTTAAAAATTTTTATTTCTTGTTTCAGCAACATTGACATGCACAAACGGTTGACTAGCGCACGAGGCAGAACTTCAGTTTTGGCTTTGGCTTTGAAGGGAACATCTTCAGGTTTGAAGATGAATTCAAAAGTTACAGCATGATAGAACTTCAGCTAAATAGGACACTGACTTCAAAAGGAACGACAAGGCTTCGGCTTTGAAGATGGCTTTCAGTTCGACTTCGATGGAATGACCTCAAAAGGCAAGACACAGTTTGGCTTCACACAACCATCTACTATTGTCTTCAGCTTTGAAGATAAATAGGTAGAGCTGGGAGAAGAAGAGGTGTGTCTGCGATTGTATCATAAGATAGCTAAGAGTCGCAGTCTTTATAACAAACACAACTATAGGTATTATTTCCCTTGCAAGTTTCAATTTTAAGGTTCACTATTTTGAGTTCTGTGTGTCCCTACGTCATCATAAATGTATCCCACCACATCCGATAAGTGTTGGAGCCTAATTTCACATAGTTAAAACTATGACACAATTTTGAAAATGTCGGATAGTTGTCAGGGCCTATCAGAGACAAAAGCCATTTGAAAGTGTTTGTCCGTCTTAGTCAGTAACTCAAGCACCATACCTTCTCAACAATTCTCAGCAACTCCTCTTCACCACTACTACAAATCTCACAGAACTAGGTGCCATAGGAAGAGAGAATAGATGAAGCATAGTTTCAAGCATAGAAAGCCCTCTAACTTGTATTATAGAATTTTTAAAATCTTTTTGGATAATATCCACGTTGACTTGAACACCACTAATCAAAAACAAATCTAGTATCTGAGAAGGGATGGCGATTTTTCTTAAGGATAGGATATTCAACTTGACCAAACTCAAAAGTGTTTCCAATTATTTGATTAGACGTGATTGTTATTCAACTTGATAATTTAAAAATTATAAGTTCTGGTAAATCCAAAAGCATTTTGAATCAACCAATCAGATGCCTAATAATGAAGTCAAGTTTAATATCTCATGAATATATAAAATTGTTTTATATTATTTTTAAATATTATGTGTAAAATCTATAAAATAAGATATAATATTAATATTAATACAAGAGTAAATGATCTTAAGAATAAAATATCTAAAATCAAAATTAGTGATAAATGTCCAAGTAATTACTTTATTGTGCTTTATTATAGACTACCATGTAATTTTTAAAACATGAAGATATTATTTATATGTTGATGAGAATTTTTTAAACTAAAAATGATTATTATCTAATTCATAAGTTATATTATCAAGTACCGGTCATCTAGTGGGCATCCACTATCCGCCAAAATTTGGGTAGAGAATTATTTTTAACCATATGAAGCAATTCAATTATGGATATGTTATTCTATTGTTAATCGGCAATCGGATATGAATTCAAATAGGGCATATCAGGCCGGTTACACTACCTATTGACATCTTAATATTTGAGTGATGACAATTATTATGAAAGGTTGTAAAATAAAATTAATTATTATAAAAACTTCAATTTTGTTTATGTTATTGTAATGAATAACTCCAGATTGGAGTACTCTATAGAATGGAAAACACATCAAATGGTACTCCAAAAGTGAAGTTCAAACATAAGAAAAAGCTTCCAACCCAATTTCAGAAGCAGTTTTTTTTTTTTATCTTGTATACTTCACTCCAAATTTATCCAACTATTTACATTCCTCAAAGACAAATCAAATCTTTTTTGGATGTTTTCTGAAACAATAGAAATTTAAATCTTAGCTCATAGTTTTAGAGAACATAGTCTGATTGTGTAAATATATGATGCTTAGCTGGCAAGAAACACTAAGCAGACCAAGATTAAAACAAGGAAGCTAAGGAAAAAAAGTTCATTAAGCTAAACTTTGTTTATCATCAACATATGTGATTACAGATCATCTTGTAATACTTACCCAAATGTTAAGAAGCAGTTACACAAAATCTAGATTTTAATATCCAAACTGACATGGATGAAGACAACTTACCTAATTTGACTCAAATTGACTTGACTAGAATTTAGCTAGATGGCAAAAACTAATTTTATTCAATGTAGATTGACTCTACCTTGAACGGGAAAAATCATGTTCAGCTAGTTTTTAAAATTTTGGAAAAAAGGTAGGTAAACTTATGGTTAACGAAGTAATCTAGCTTGCCTATAGCTGCACACATTTAGGGGTAAATCTCATTTGTTTATAAAAATACTTCCACAAAGGTAAAAGGGATTGTTATAAAATCAGACCTTTAACATGTGTAAACACCATAGCAGGCTTAACAACCACAAAGTTGCACAAGACCAGGTGCCACGGATCTTTTGAAGTAGAATCTCAATTAATGCCACACTTTAGTCAAGCACACACCAGTTAAGTTACAATAACGAGCAAGACATCTCAGACCACTTCGAATGAATACACGTAGGTACAGTTCAAAATGATAAAATTAAACAAACATTAAAAAAATGACAAGTCTTGATATATATATATATATATATAGAGGAGGAAAAAAGATTACAAAATAACTAGATGGAATTACCTCTCTTGAAGTTCATAATTGCGTTTCCTGACACCATTTTTTTTATTCATAGTTTCAGCAGCATGAGTTATAGGTTCTACCCCAGGCATCATGAGATGAGGGACAGCTCCCATTGTCATGAATCCACTGAAAATTGAGTTTTGCAAACAGGAATAACAAAGTGCAGCTTTCAGCACAAAGAAAACCAGTTGTAAGTTCGAACATACAGAGCATCATTATCGGAATGTGAAGAAAAATATAGAAACCGAGAACTTACTAGGGTGCTGGCAGGCTACCATACATTGGTGGCATGCACGATGAAATGCCAAAAGCTGGGGCCTGAAACATCATTGGATCAAATGGCATCATAGGAGGGGCACCATATATATTCGCATAAGGCCGAACATTTGTGAAAGAGGCCCCACGCCAATAGCCTTCTTGGTAGGGTGGAATGCCTCCAGAGGCCACAGCATTTCCTATAAATGAATAAAGAGCATTTCAAGCATTAAAAAGCTTGCATGGCATTTAATCCTAAATAAAAGGCTGGCAGTTATGTACCTGTCTTGGCATGAGGACACTCTCTAATCAAGTGATCTGGGGCCCCACACATATAACAGTTACGCTCATACTGAAATTTTTTAAAAAACAAGTAGATGAATTGCAAGAAATAAGGAGTAGAGAGAGAAATGAAAACATAAATTATCCAAAATACAGCAGCACATACAACCCATATAGTATGTCAACAAACTAGACGAGATATAAAAATAAAAAATTAAAAAATTAAAAAAAAAAACCAAAAAAAACAAACTAGACGAGAAATAATTAAAACATTTTGCATAAAAATCACTCAGGTCTTGGAGTTAAATATCACTTAGGTCCCTGAGTTAAACCCTCAATTTTGACCCCGATGATCTTCTCATACACAAATTGATCTCTAAGGTTAAATCTCAAGTAATTGCAAACATTCTTTCTTTGCAAATAGTGTTAAAATTTACATTATTTTAGTTGAGCGTATTGTAATTTTTTACTTAAATTTGAATTGTATAAAATCTTGCAATCAAAATAAAATCATTAATTGTACCAAATTGGTACCCAAAGATGTGGTGCAAGTTTTCATAAGGATCATTTAGCCTTACAAGTTTCTTAAGGTTGGCAGTTCAAGTTAAGTCTCATAAGCAAAGTTTGATAAAGCCGCAAGAGTGACAGATCTAAGCAAGCTCGTTAAACTAAGATCCACTGACGTTGGACATCATGGATCATAAAAAAAAAAATTAAGATCCAAGACAATTAATTATAAATTCATGTTCTTTAAATATAAACTTAAAAAAATTATAATTAGAACCTAAATGATAATTTATTCATCGAATAAATCTAAAAAAAATTAACAAGAAATTCGAACTATGCAAATCAAAAGAATTTGTAAGTTAATCACCACAATTATAAATCTAGTTGTGCCAAATTTGAACTAAGTCAAGAACACTAATAGCAAGATAATTCGAGTAAATTATATCAAAGAAAGAATCTATCAATGTAAGAAATCCAAGCGTCACACTAACATAAGGATATAGCATCCGCAAGAAGCAGATAGCCATACTTTTACCATGCTCGAAGGACCCAAGCATCCAACTTACACATATAAGATTAAAATTAAAAGAAAAAATTTTTACTCAATCAAAACATCTAATTGCATGCCTCGAAACATCTATTATTTATAAATACGTCATCCATAGGTGATGCATTTAGATTTTTGCATTATTTTTGTTTTGAACAATATTAGTTATATTTTCTAGTTTTTTGTTTTATTTTTAAGCTATCCAATGATGGTGGTAAATCAAATGATCATGGTAGGAAAAGGTTTGGGTTATGCTTACCTTGGGTTTGCTGGCGTTGGGGTCCACCTTGTCCTTTGGGCTGTTTGTTGGTTTCAAGAGGGCCTTGGCTGTTTTCGGTTTGAGCTTGGTTTGTTGAAATTCTAGTTGTGCCAGCTCATTATGATCATTTAGTGGTGAAGCTCATTATGAGCTGATGTTTAGTTATGAAATTTAAAGTAAGGGAGCAAGATTTGGTGAGTGGAACTTGTTCTTTCATATTCTATTTGAATTGGGGCTGCTGCAGTTTTTTCTCTGGATTTCTCTCCCACGGTTTGCTGCTGTCGTTGCCCCCTCGGTTCTCTGCCCCTTTATTGCCGTGACTTTCCCCTTTTCTCCCGTGAAATGTGTAGTTGCTGGACCCGATATTTGGCTCCTAGTTTCCTGTGCTGGAGACGTGGCTTTCCTTGTGAACTGCTGTGCCGTTTGGAATTTCTGTACAAAAATCTGATGGGTTCCATGGCCTTGTTCTGCTTGGAAATTGCTATAACTATTGGGATTTCAGCAAGGTGACTTTTGGCCTTTCATTTCTATTATTTTTATATGGGGATTTGAAGGATTTTTTTGCTGTTAAGTTTCCCCTCTATTGCCTATATATGAGATGCTTTGAGATGAAATAGTTGGTGAATATTGAGAGCAAATTGCTATAACCTGCGGGTTCTTCTTGGAAAAGCTTGCGAGCTTTGTTCCATCTTCTTTCTCCTTTAGGGAATACTTGCGAGTTCCTTCCCACCCTTCGTCTGGGCTTCTAACCTCTTTCTTCTCTACGCAAGTTCCACTCCACCTGTATCTTTCTTCTAGTTCCGTTGGTAAAGTTTGTTGGCTGTTTTGGTGAAGTTGTTGGCTGTTTTGGTGGCATTTGCTGGAGGAATTTGGTAGGACATTGGAACCCCTTTGCAGTGGTGGACCCTTGGTTTGCATATCTAAACATTATTTTAATATATATTTTCCTACAATCGGTGCATGTGAGGAGTCCTCTTGTAGGATGTTCTGAGGATAGTGTTTGTTTATTTTTAGTTTGTTTCTTTTGCTAACTTTTTTTTTGTTTTGGTTTGTTGGATGATCGCTTCTTTTCTAATCTGAATTTTAGTGGTTTATTTAGCCTATTTTGTTCTCCAAGTGGTGTCTTAAATTTCTAAAAAGTGAGTTTTGACTCTCTTTGTTCACACTTTGTGTTTTTGCTTCAAGTTGCATACATCAATAGGTTAGTAGATATGACTTAAAAGTTCAGCCAAATTGGATTTCAAATGAAAATCAAACTCAAATTTATCCAAAATTAGGAATTAAAACAATTGCATAGTAACTTTCCTGGGAGCAAAACAAAACCCGCTAGTATAGTGCATATTAGTGCCCATAGTAATGCTACTAGAATAGGCAACCAATCATAGGAATAGGTAAAAAGGTAAAATAGGATAACCACATGAATAAGCGGAACAGCGTAACTGCAACAATCCCCAAGCACTTCATATGCAAAAACAGGAACCCAAAGAGGAGTTATAGTCCCGCATCATGTTGCCCAGGTTGGAAAATTTTAAGTTCGACGAATTGAGCTATAAACAAGATAATTCTAGAATACAACACCGATAATGGACACAATCTCATCATTAAAAGTTCCAACAAGAACAAGTTGTATATAAGGGTGAATTGAATGTGGAATCACAATGAGAAGATAGAATGAGAGAAGAATCCAAAGAGGAATTGATAATATATTTATGAAATAAGAATAGATCAGACATTAAAATTTTGATTTAATACTACCATGAATTTATCACTGTGTAAACTCCAGACACATTAAAATTTTTATTTTTATCCAGTTCCAAAACAAAACAAAAGTTTAAAAAAAATTCTTTCTTGCATATAATTTTTAAAGATTCCAAATAGAAGCATTTAATATAAGCCTACCATGAATTTATCACTATGTTTAAACTCCACTTCAGAACGCTTATAATTTCACATCTAACCAATTTTTTACAAATATTCCCATAAGATTCATGCGATTCATGCAAATCCATGCAATAAAATGCTATAACACTAATATGCATCCTAAGGTACTAATAATGACCAATAATTAAATCTCAGAAAATGAAATGATAATATAATTGCTAACAAAAAAGCCACACAATCATTGATATATGCCTATATGAGTAAACAACCTTTTTAAGAAAAACTAACCCAAAGGATTTAAATGCGTTTTGATGAATATTATGCATCATTAAAATTGACCAGATGGATAGATTTTTTATTTTGGGTTTGTTTAAAGTTTTTTTCTTTCAAAATTGAATTCTTTAAAATATTGGTGCAAATAAAAATAAGGCACTTACTTATAAACTTATAAATCATAGTACAGCAAATAGTGGTGTCCACAACAATAGCCAGTTGAATAAGCAAAGGATCATAGGAGCAGGTAAATGATAGAATTGGATATCTGTTGAAGTAAGCTGAATAGAATAACTGCAGCAGCCCCTAGGAACTTCACAGAAAAAACAATAAATCTTTAGCAACAAAGTAAGAAACCAAAAAAAAGATGGATGGATGACACAGTTCGGCATGAACCATGCTTTTAAAGAAGCTGATTGGTACTCATCCCCTCTTCTACGCTTCTAGTTCTATTATAGCGATAAGGTTCTTCTGGCATTCCCATAGAACTCCTAACAACAAATTCTGCTCCATTGTTGGTGGCCTCATTTAAGCTACCAGTGATAAGACCCTCTAGGAGTGAAAATCTCAACAACAATGACTCTGATGGCTACCCCCAGTGTAATGGATACAATGATGATTGATCAAGCCACCCACAGGAGACTAAAAGGCCTTTTGATATGCAAGGTCATCTTGGCAAATTATGCGACCTTATTGGAAGTGTGATTTCATCGAATCGTAGCAAACTCGTGCAAAACACAACCATTTCCATCTAAGAAACCTACAACAAAAATTTTAGGGATCAAAATCATAAAAGCAAGGAAAGAGAGAAAAAATATATTAAAATAACTTAATTTGAGGCTCGCCTTAAGACCCGCTTCAAAGTGAGACGCATGCAAAACACATTGAGGCTTACACCTTACAGAAGGAGAGAGAGACATATGCCTCAATTATTTGAGGTGCATAATGATATGTGCCTTGAGGCATATACAATGAGGCGTACACCTCTATCTCATCATTTGCATGAAAGATTTCAAAGATGATGAAGATCTCTTAATTATTAATGATGTATCCTAGGATAATGAATGATTTGTGGAAGATGAAAGTAGTGTTTTAGCATCACAATTATGAGGAATATCTTAATGTTGGCTTTTTGATGTAGGAATGAATAAGAAAAACAAAAATTGAAAATAAAGTAACAGAAAATATAAGTATTAAATTTTATGTAACATAGAGATCATATGTCACAACTTAACCCAGTATGACCGACAGACAGGACAGGTCATATCGTGTTGAATGATGACAGACCAAACACAAAATCAAAATTTTGAGGACATTTCAATTTTTTTCTTTAAATTATGCATGTGATAACCGGTTCTTCCGGCCGGTTCAACCGAACC